TAAGTTTTTTGCGCTCGTTGCGTCGAGGGAGCCTCCATGTAGACAAACGTTATTTTTATTTTGATGTATGATCTCCCGTTATTAATTAAGCCTTTCATGAGCGTATGTACGAAACTGCACCCCGAATTTCGCCAGTGTCAATGGCTGACATCCGTAGGTGCTGCGTGACGTCACAGAACGCAAAGGTTTGTCGGATGGTCGGATAACAAGCGTTGATCGATGGATGTCTTTTATTTTGTTTCGAATTATATAATCTTCTAGGGTGTACTCTACTGAAATACGGTTCTTTGAATGCAGTTCCTAAGCATGTGCAAAAAAAGTCACGCCTTTTAGCAAGATATTACTCGCAAACAGCCATAAGCTTCGAGCAAACGTATGCCGTTTCGCGCTAACAGAACTGTGCAACTGCGACGGCCACCGATCGAACTAGGGGTGCTTGCAAAGCAAAGGTGGCAAAGGATGCAGATTTCGCCTCTGAAGCTGCACCTAGGCACACGAAGCGGCATCTGGGTACACATGTCGGCGGATCCGCTGGATCTGTGATGAGGCTGCGGGATGTTCCCTCAGAGGCGATGTCCGCGGGTCGACAGGCAAACGGCGAATCGTTCAAATGCATGTCGTCACTTGACTTGGGCGAGCTTGGTGAATTAATCGTATAGTCACGCTCCATTTTCACACGCGGGTCAAAGAGAATCGGGCTGCAAGCGTGCTAAATACAACTTCTGGCATTGTTTCCAGACGGCCTAGCTGTTGGTTTCTGTCACAAACTCTGGGGCCGGCCGACTCTCCCACGAGCTTTTTCTTTGCGATTTTGTGCTGCTCGCCGTGCCCCTTCGCCAATTTGCCTTTTCAGTGGGCAAATTGCGTTGCGGCGACCACAAACGGGAAAACGAAGCCCGGTTTTGTTTGTTTCTCCTTTTCTTTCCCCCGGGGGTGCCTTCGGCGCCGACAAAGGCACGAAATACGTCGCCGTGGAGGGGGACGGTTTTCGTGGGGAGCCGAATCAGCCGATGGATTTTGCGCAGGGCTTTTGGGTCGTCAAGGGGGCAAGACGTTCATGGTTGCGGGGTGAAGTCAGCGGGAATGGCGTCCCGGCGACGCGATATCTTCTGAGTCTTCTTTATTATCGTCACCGCCGCGGTCTTCCTGCCAGTTCACCACCGCCGAGAGGCTGACGACATAGAGATCATACATGCTGACGATGCCCCGGCCTTCGACACCAAATTTCAGTGAGACCTGTCCGTACACTTCGGACTTCGCTTTTGCGGAAGTTTTATTTCGATTTGCTCTCCGTCCGTGGCTTGGTTCCTTTGTTTCATTGTTGTTTATATTCTGAACCGTAGTATCGCTGTAGCGCGCCGACCGTTTTCTTTATTGCTTCTTTCTATTTTATGCTTAGTAAAGTTCCTGTGAAACCTTGTTTTTTTTTTTTTTTTGTGTATTGTTTGCCGATGCGCCAAACCTTGAAATTTATGTTTACATATGTATATATATATATATATATATATATATATATATATTTTTTAAGTAAATATATTGTTCATTGTTCAAACTCTGTGTCCGCCTGAGCTCATTTCGTTCTTCCCCAACTTGGGCACACGCGCCAACCGCGCCGGCTGACCGGCCTCAACAAAAATAAATATTGTTCGCAGTCGTTGTAGAGGGCCAGCGGGAGAACTGTCAACGGGGAATCGAAACTGTGACAGTTTCGGTTTCGCTGCGTAATCAAATTGATTGATCCGATTTGGGCGAGGAGTGGATGAACGTAGTTTAATATCGTTGGCACAGCATCGCACCTCAGCTTACGAGCCTTTTGCCCGCTTAGAGCTCAGCTCGTAGCTCTTTTCTGTGAGGTGATTGCTGCATAAGCGGGATCTCGATCTTGACGGGAACCCAGTCCCTACGCACAGCGACGATCCATTTTTCTCGTCACTGCACGTCTCGCGGAAAAGTGTGGAACGTCATGTCTTGGCTCACATGTGCTGCCCGGTGGTTGTGGCACCCAACCGCACAACAAAAATCTCACCCAACCGCGAAATAAGTCGAGTACAACAACAAAAACGAAGCACGCTGAGGCGTTCACTCGCAGGCAAACGACGAGACAGAAATGCTCGCCTGCTCGCGTGGCTCGCGTTGTGTTTTGTGACGTCAGAGTTTCAATGTTGCCAACAAAAGCAGCGCTTACGCTAGAATGCGATTGGAGCAGTATAAATTCAATTACTCACGCAGAGGGGCGAGACACATGCGCGAAAAAGCCATGCGATCCGACGTGCGAACCGCCGGAACGACGTCCGAGGGCGAGGGTTTTCGTCGCACCGGAGCGTCGGACGAGGCCTCCGTCCGGCGCCGGCGTGCGTCCAACTTGCCAGATATCGCCGCACGCACGGTCCGATTTTCGGAAGGCCGCAGTGGCCGCAGCCAATGAGCACGGATGGCGAAGGTCATGTTGTCAAGTGACTTTCGGACCGATCGGGCGAGGAGGCGCGACGTGGTTCGGGGAAGCGGATGTGGCGGTGCGCGGTGCGTCACGCGACGCGAGTCGTCGTTGTGAAGGAAACGGACGCCATCGAGTTTTCCCGCGCGCACAAAACGAGCTGCTGATTTCGCGCGCCAAAGCAAGCCGGCCTTCTGGGACCGATCGAGCCCGTCGAAACCCGAATATACCCCGTTTCACCTTAGGATGGACAGCAGCGGACGCTACGAGCCATTCCAATGTCATGTGAGTGTCACGTGAACTTGGGGAGAGACTCAACAATGCGCGCGGTACGTAGTCACGTGATTTGTACGCAGTGCTCGTTTCGCTGGGATGGCTCTAAGGTCCGCTGCGGTCCTTCGCGATTAAGTGATGTTGAGCAGAAAAATAACCTCACGGAAAATCTTCACACACGCACACTTTAATAGAATGTAATAAAAAATATTACGTTTGTTTGAAAGTCGGAAAAACCAAGAAGGGCGAGGGAAGTATTTATTTTTCTAGGCTAGGTGGCGCGAGCTACCGCCCGTTATAAATATGGCCATTAGCATCCATCTATTCATTTGGTAGAAGGACGAGAAGGACACCCGAAACTGGGCGGAGCTGAACGGAGCGACGCAACGACGCGTCGGAAACCATGTGTCGCGAACCGTCCTGTGCGGCGATTCGGAGCAGCCATCTTCCCGACAGTTCGCACGCCGGATCGGACAGTTTTGACGCGCATGTGTCTCGCGCTTTAGCATCTCATCTCTCGCACGAAGCGCGGTAGCTTGCCTGTGCGTCACTGGTTTCGTTTTCTCGCCGCTACCAAGATGGCGGACGTAGTTCTCGGCGCGCACTCGATAGCCTTTACGCCAAGGAGGTTAGAAGTACTAGGAGGGGGCACGTTGCAATATTGGTGAAGCCTAGTCATAAAAAAGTTTAAACGATTTTGTGCCCAGCGTGACCGCAGATCTCTCTGGCGATTGGTGCGCGTGACATGTCACGTGTGAGATGGATGGTTGATTGTAGAATGACTCCTTGCAGGCTTGCGCGCGCCCCGTCCGGTAGGTTCTATCAGATCGAAGTCTAGACTGTGGTGTATTCTAGTGCCCCATAGCAAGACAAATGCTAGCTACGGTCACGTGGTGTGGTCACGTTGGCATGGTAAGTGAGGAGAGTAAGGAGGAAAATGAGAAAGAGGCGAGGCGCCAAGGGAGCTTGGCTTGTGGAGGCTACGCGGCCGACGTCATGCCCTCTCCTACCCTTCTATTCTCCATGCTTTACGCATATGCAGGTCACCCAAATAAAACGTTCAAACAACAACGAGGGTACGATGAAGTCCGATGCGGTTCCGAATTTTGCGGATATGGTACGGATTCGGACACGGCGGACGCAAAGTCTGCGGATGCAATAACAATAATTTAAGAACATTGCGGATCCCTCGCAGGGCATGTTCGAATTCCGGCCCTTGAGAGAGACGCTCGAGACCGGGACGGGTCTGCTTGGTTTGCTTCAATCCGGCAGCTATTCGAATTTCGCGCGGTCAAGTGGTCAAGGTCACTTCCCTTCGTTTCCTTTTAGTGGCCGTTGAGGGCGCTGAGGAGCGGGATTTATTAAAGCCCCTTGATAAAAGCGTTTTTTACAAGTACCGCCAACCATTGTTGTGGAAGCGCGCGAGACACGTGCCACGAGCGGGCGCTCCGCCGCCATTCGCTTCCAAGCCCCGCTCATTTCAGTGCTGCGCCGCCATTTGCTTCCAAGGGCCGCTCGAGACATGGGCCTCGTGCACTCGCGCATTTGACGCTACTTGCAAGACAAACGCAAAGACATCGAGGGGCTTTAGGATTTATTTTAGGATTTGTTAGACAAAAATGGAAACAGCGCACTAGGAAATTAAGACGAAAGTTTTAGGCTATAGTGGAGATACGGAAGAGCAGGTCTCAGAGGAGAAAGGGATCGGTGGCTGGACGGAATGCTGGCAAAGACGGCTCTGGAAAGCTATAGATTAAACAAAACAGTTATTGGCAAAGAAAGCATTTATGACAATTCTAGGGGATGCTCATTGTTGTTTGAGGCGAGGACAGGTGTTCTGCGAACCAGAACATACAGAGCGAAGTACCAGGAAATGGATACAGTGTGCACTGCTTGTGGAGAGGAAGAGGGGACGGCTGAGCACTTGATACTCTACTCTAAAGGGCTTCATTCACCCTATGCCTACCGAAGACAACGTAGATTTAATAAAGTCATTGGGTTTTAGAGACAGCGAAGGGAGAGTGGATTTCAAGACTGTAAAGATTACCAAGAAAAGATTAAGTGAATGGTGGCAGAAAGCGAGAAAAAACTAGGCATTCGCTCACTTTCTTTGCAGTGCGGAGTGAATATATATTTCACATTTAAATATTCTAAGCTTAAATGGTAAAACAAAATGGCTAGGTGGCGTAAGCTACCGCCCGATCCAAAGGGCTCAGCCGGATTCATCTATCCATCCATTTATCCGGTTCGGCCAGGTTCGGCGCTTTGCCTGCTTTGCCAGCTTTGCCGCTTTGCTGGCTTTGCGGAGAAGTGGCGGAATTTGCGCGCAGGAGCAGTGGCCAGCAGCGGCCACAGCGGCGCTGACGAGACGGGAGCAAAGAGAGGGAGCAAACTTTTTTTTTTGGTAGCGTGGTCGGTGTGGTAGTGGAGCCAGTGGACTTTCAGCACTCGGGAAACCCAAGAAGGAGGATGATACGCCGATCCATAGCCTCCGATCATGCCGATGACACCGAGTGCAAATCGCAGGATGGAGATGCGGAATGCGGCCGGTGAAGATATCGGAAGTTTCTAGGGCGCCCGTAGTGCTCTGGTACGTTGTCTGGTACACTGGTGCCTCGTGTCACCATTTCTCCGGCGTACCTTGTGTGTGATCAAGCCGTACTCTGAAATGTCGACTAACGAACGACCCTCGGATCTTCCTTGGACGCTTCTTTCGCTCAGCGAGGCCCGCGATACAGTGCGGCGATAGGGGCGCGCGGAAAAAGATGGACATCTGCAGGGAGAGCGACGACCTGGAGCCGAGCTCCATCCCCCTGTGCAGCGTGATCGAGGACCGGCTCTTCCTCGGAGGCCGAGACGCGGCCGAAGACGACCCCACCGTCAGAGCTCTTGGCATCACGCACATCCTGACCGCGGACATCTTTCCGCTGGAACTGGAGGGCAGCAAGAGCAACTTGCAACTGCTCTTCCTACAAGTGGACGACAGACCGGAGGAGGATCTGCTCAGCCACTTTGAGAGAGCTTGCAAATTCATCGACCAAGGCTGCAGAAACGGCGGCTGTCTTGTGCACTGGTGAGCTGCAGTGATCTCGATCGAGGTGATGCATATATGTCTACCACCGATATTTTTTTTCCCCTGCTGATTTATAGTTACTTCGGGGTTTCGAGGAGCGCCACCCTGGTCATCGCGTATATCATGCAAAAATACCGCCTAGACTACACCACGGCGTTCGAGAGGGTGCGAGAGAAGAGAACCTGCATTGGGTATGTTGGTCCCAACTCCGACGAAACGCGTCTCGATTTCGAGCGGGAAAAATCTCGGTCTCTGTTGGCCACAGTTGGTTAATTTACCTTCGAAATACAATTTAATTTTCGGCTCAAAAAAAAAAGAAAAAAACTGTCATTTACAATTAAATTACTACCACGCAAGAAGTGGTTGAAGAGACCCTATTGTGATCACAAACATATTTAGCTGAGCTAGAAGTAAAGGAAGAGAAACAGCAACACAATCAGGTTTTAACGCTGAAATGAATTTATGCAGGGCCATTGTTTTATGCTATCGTCTGAAATAAAGAGCCATATTTTACTTTTGTATTAATTTTTATCTTTTGCAGACCGAACCAGGGATTCATCTTTCAGCTAAACCTTTTTCACACAATGGACTACAAGCTCGACAAAGGCAACATACAGTACCGACTTTACCTCTTGGATAAGTTGGCCACCGTTGCAAAAAGAGGTTCTCTGACGTGCTTGGAACAAACTCTGTACCCCCTCCTATTAGGTGACAGTAGTGGCCTCTAACACGAGCTCACATAGGCATGCTAAAAACAAATCACAAAGGATTTCTGGAAGAGACACATATTCTATGTGCATGTTCCATTAGTGCATTCTCGGTTTTATACATGGCGTAGCGCTGGTTACTGGCATGAGCATTTAGCTCTATTTGGCGTCTCATTTTGCGTGAGAGTGTACACACAACAGAGTATGCAGCTTTCCAGCACTTATCACTCAAACAAAAGTGTCTAGTCATTGTGCAATTAATGCATGTGCAGCGTCTGATATTCGTCAGAACAGAGCCACCGCGCAAGTTCACAACGCATTCCATAGCCGAGTAGGCAAAGATGGCAGCACAAAGAAATTAAGCAATTTTTCTAATGGTCTATGGTTGGTAACACGCCTGACCAGTGATGAGGAGACCTGGGTTAATGCACCAGGTTCTTTTAACTCAAAATGTGTTGTACGCCTCGTCTCAAGAGAAAATTTGTGTGATGGTCCTCACTATAACACTCTTCAGCTTCAGCGGTTTGGGATGTGCAGCTGGTGTCTTGCGAAACGTCCGCACGCCTCTGTTTGAGTGGTCGGCATGATCGCATAGCAGGATAACCACTGCTCTATGGGTATGCTTACTCCACACCCTAAATAGCTGCCTCGGTCCTCGAGGTTGCCAATGCACTTATTATCTCCCTCAACAGATGACGCGGCAGAGGTGCGCTATAAACGGCACATACAGATACCACATATCATTAAAGGCCGATGTACACTTTGTGGTTTATACTTTTCCTCACTCCTTTCTTTTCCTTATCGTCCCTTTTTCAACTCGCCCCAACACGACTCCCCTTACAGTTTAGGAGAGGAAAACGCAAAGAGGAATATCTGGATAGATGGATGGATGCTAATGCCTGTACCCTTTATAACGAGGAGTAGCTTGCTCCACCTAGCCTGGAAACCAAGTCTTTTTCCTCCCTTTGCATGTCTAAACCAATTTCCTTCCCCTCTGCTTTTTGTAACTATGTGTGTGTGTAACAGTGTCGGATATCGTCAGGATGACATTTGGGGGATTGGGCAAAAAAAACTGAAGACATCGTCCCCCGCCTTCTCTCCCCAGCGAGAGAGTCGCTGGGGAGAGAAGGTCTAACCTAGTCAATGTACCCCAAAACCGGGCACGCTGGGAAACAGGGGTGAGATTTTGGGCCGGAGCCTCACTGGAGGAGGTCCCAATTTTTCTCTGTCTTGTCTGTCCCCAGCTGTACTAGTTAGTTTCACTTCCTTAAATTTTCCTTGGATAGTTTCCACCAACCTTTTAACCTTCTTTTGTGACTGTAATCCTTTCCTCCTCCATTCTTCCATCTTCGTCACCAAAACACAGCAGCCCCGCCAGATCCGTGACCTTTCAGGGAGGGCAAAGCAAAGCCCCGTGCACTTCAAAAGCAAATGTTCTAGCGTCTCACTTTCATTATGGTACACGGCAGATAATGTGTCTATCTCTTGAAATTTAGCCTGATACATCTTTTTTCTTAATACTCCCATTCTGGCCTCAAACAGCAAAGAACTTCCACATGAATTATCGAACGCCTTTTTCTTTCTTATGTCGTTTTTGTGACCTGTACATTGTTAGAGCTGATTTTTTCTGCATTCTTCCCTCCCACATTTTCCTTTCTGCCTCGTTTGCTCCCTTTTTCACTGAAGTAGTCTGCTCAGCCCAATCACTCACGTGTAGGTATTTAAATGTAAGCTTTTGGGTTCGGTTCGTCCATTTTGTGTTTAAACTTTTCATGTATAGATACTTGAATACTCTCCGTGCCCACCAAACATCATCCATTTCAGTCAACCTTTCTCCGAATTTAAGTTTACTGATTGTCCTTTGCTCTAAAAAGACGACCAGCCCATGACCCCCTGCACTCCCTCATTTGGTGTGTTCCCATGTGCTGCCAGTGCTAACCTGCCCATGCTCCTTTGTCGAATTTCCAACCCTGATTGAACCTCTAATCTCATACACAGTGCCCACGCATTGGCAAAAGACACCCCTTGGCACCATTACTTTTTTCATATACCCCTGTCTACTTCATATCTATTATAGTTCCATAGTGCCTAGAGCCTTATAATACCTGAATCTGGATGGATGGACAGATGTTAACGGAACATGGTTAAAATTGAGCACAAATAGAAAGGAACAGAGAAGAGACAAGCGCTTGTCTCTTCTCTCTTCCCTCTTCTCTGTTCCTTTCTATTTGTGCACAATTTTAACCATGTTCCGTTAACATCTGTCCATCCATCCACTTTACTAAAGATGTTAACGGCCATACCCCTTGTAACGAGTGATAGCTTGCGCCACCTAGCCTGAAAAGACAGAAAGACAATCTTCCCTGCAGGAAACCAAGGTTGCACGTTGGCCTTTAATAGTATGTGCACGTCTGGAAATGAGAAATGATGGAGATGGCATGTTTCAAGACAACAGCCGCGGTGTCAACGAGTGGCAATCTTGGTGTTCAGTCTAGCTGTGGTGCCTGGAACATGTCTTGGACTGGTGTGTTTCATATTGCCCATACACCTGGAGGGGTCCCAAGATGACAGCAAGACATGTCACAGTCACTCATTGTAGCATCCCAACCCATAGCCGATGTGCTTTCCATCGAGTGGTCGGCTGTGGGGCGACCTAGAGCAGAACAGGTGTCCGCCACACCCACTTCTGCTGCTGTGGCACCGCCACGATTGTGGCCAGTTACGGCATGTGCCAGCTGCGGTGTCACAAGGTGGAAATTGGGGGACCAAAAATGAAGGTGCAGTTAACATGTGTCAAAGACGTGTTCCATGCACCATAAATTAACATCAGAATTCCACTATAACATTTGCTTTGTGCAGTAACTGAACTGAAATCTGTCACCTGCTCGCTACGAAAATTGAGTAACCCTCTCTTTAAAAGAACACTGCATGCTCAAACTCCCTTTTTAAACTGCTTGTCACATAGGTAATGTATTTCATCGAAAGAAGAAAATGAATTAATGCGGCACTTTTTGTTGCAAGTCGCAATGTAAGCAGAGTTGTGGAGGCAATATGTGGACCAATCCCCTTCACTTTTCTCTCTCGCATCATTTTGCAGTCAGTCGCTGTGCATGGAAATGAGGTATGCAGTGTACCCCTTTTATGCACTCCGTCCAGCCAACAGGAGGCTGACCAAATTATTCCATTTTGACGTTGCTACGAGATCGGACTCCAAATGGGATTCAATTTTGAGCCAATGCTCTTGAGCAGATGAAATCACTCCAAGCTTGAAATGCTTCTCAAGGCATATTTTTGTTGTCGCGGAGAGTTTCCTGTGACATATGTAGACTATCAAAGCAGTTAAAAAAATTTTTTTTTTTTTGAGTGTGCAGTGTTTTTTAATAGTGGCTTCAGTTTTGGTCCGAGTGAGCTGAAGACGGAAGCCACTGCCCTTTCCAGCTGGCGCATTCTCCGCCGTGCCGGATGAGCTGAAAACTTTGTGGAGCGTAGATGATGAGGCGGGAGGAGAGCATCTCAAGTGCAGGAAATGCAGGTGGGTACGGGGATGACACATCGTGGCCCCACTGCAGATGCCACAGCCCTTACATCCTGCTAGAAATGCGCGTCTGTTCGTTGGCCTTAATTTATTTCGGGAAAATGGCGTAGTTCAGAAGCTTTTGAGACCTTGAGGCTATAATTGGCTACTCTAGCTGAAAGATAATACCGAAATGACGTAAGGGTCAGTTAAGCGAGAGAACCTTTATTTACGAGATGAGGCATTACATGATTACGCATCAGGCAAGAGTTTTTCTTGGTTGTAATATTTACAGAAGTGAAAAATCTGTACATTGCAGTGTGGGAAGAAAAGGTTGCTTTATTTATTTAACTTTGGCGGGTGCCTTTAAACAGCCTGTGGGCTTACAGAAGGGTGCACCTACTGCCGGGCGTACCCATTCTGACATAAATATAAGACACATAAAAGCATGCACAGTTGGTGTAACAGAAAAAAATCTTAGAAAAGAAAGTGGTGTGCGAAAAAAGCCAAATTAGGAACATTATGAAATGTGAATAAGGGACATCAGAGAAAGTATAATCTTTGACATTGGAAAAGAAAAAAAAAAGGCACACGGGATAGTTTGAGCAGCAATGTGGCGAGAAACTGAGGGAGAGGAGATGGCAGCGCGCAGAGACGTCGGTATGCCAAGCTCCGATTGGACTGATTAGTGGGCCTAGCTGCCTCTGTATCCACTGCACTCGTTGAATGAGTTTGGACGTGGAACGCTGGCATCCAGCGTTTGGCTCTCGCATTGGAACGTGTTTGAGGTGTGCAGTGGGGACAAAGGCAGCTAGCTTTAGGTCTACCCACTAATCGTTCGAACCAGAGCTCAGCGTTCTGACATCCCCGCACACCCTCGTCTCCTCCTCTCCCTCAATTTCTTATTGCATACTGACTAAAAAATTTCAAATGCGTAAACCAAAAGTAATTTACTCAAAAAAGTTTGAGCACTAATCGCATGCTAAAACTTTTACGTTGCACCGCAGCAATGCACGACCCTTGTGTGGCGCAAAAAAGAGCCAAAGTGTCTCGCAGGCTGGCACTGTTCCCCACGAGCAAAATCGTGCCCCACATCCCGGACGAAAGTGTCCCCTGGTGGGACCCCCGATGGAAGGAGCCCCCAGGCCAGCTCTGCTCAAGCAGCTTTTTCGTGGAGCCCACAGGGTGGCTCTTCCATCAGGCACAGAGTCTTCAGGGAAAGGTGCGTTCTGCCCTAGCCTGTTCACCCTGGCCATGGTGTAAGAAACGTGCCTTATTGATTTAAAAATATTTTTTTTTTTGCTGCAGATAGGTCTGTTTGTATTCCCACCTTCTCTACAGCCTTCTCCTGGAGCCGAATGCCCTTGCACCACCTGTGTGGCAGCCTCTCCATGGCCTCCTGGAACCCCTTTTTGGGAGCCCCCACGCCTAAACAGCTGCTTTCAGCTTATCAGTGACTGAAATGGCATCCTCACGTCTCAACAGATGGTAACCACTGGAGGCTTCGTTAGGCCACACCCATGTATGACCAAATGTCCGACTGTTCGTAGGGCGTGTCGGAGAGACGGCCGAACTTGATCAAGCGCTGGTCAATCACTGTTTCATGCGCATTCACGGGAGGCGGTAATTGGCCGCCGTCCGATCGGGTTTGGCTGTCTTTTTGGCATGTCGTACGACCAGCCAGGCATTTGGTTGTGCATGGGTATGGCCTGACAAGGCCCCCAGTGGTTATCACCTGTTGGGTCGAATGAAAACACCCCTGGGGGGTGCCCATTCGTGTTACTAATAAGCTGGAAGCATCTGTCCAGACATGGGTGTAAGTTACTCTCTAGAAAGTGGTTCCAGCAGGGCATGGGGAGGCTGCCACATAGGTGGTGCAAAGGCTTGCAGCTACAGGTGGAGCCTGTCAAGAAGATGGACATATGTACAGACCTGTGAGTGACCAGTATCTACAGCAATAAATTTAATTGTAAATCGGTATATTATGTTTCATGCACAGTGCAATCCACTTATAACGATATCACATATAACAGTCACTTTCTAGAGGACTGTGCTCTTTTGCATGTGGTATCCAGTTTAGATACAACGATAATTGGGTTTAACGGTTGCATTTTCAGGGTATCTTATTATCAGTGGATCATACTGTATATTTATTTAGGTGTCGACACACTGCACAGTGATCGTTACACACAATTAACCAGATGAAGTCCTATTGGCACGCGGCAGAGTAGCCCATTCTGACAGCGTCTCCACTGGCCAGACGGTGCAAGCGAAAAAAATAAAACAAAGGCATAATGAGCGTCCCGTTGCCATGGCACCTGTGCGCACATGCTTTTTGCTCAGCACATCTACCCTGACTTCTACGTATGCTGGTTTAAACACTGCGCCATAGATCTCTCCACAAATGCATTCATAAAACTGTTCCTGCTGCTGTTGAGGCACAAAACTATGGTCGATGATGAAGCCGTGTGTGAGCATGCTGCAGCACACCCATAAAACAATGTTAAAAAAAAAGTGAAAGCCGTTTACAACTTCCTGTAACGCCGAATTGGAGCGCAGCTCTTGAGGAGGAAGAGGGAAGGGTATATTCCTCCTCCTCCCTCGTGATCATGCCTGCTAGTCCTCCTCCCCTTCTGCCCCCCTCCCTCTCCTTTACCACCTTTACCGGGCGGGGGAGAAGGGGGGAGGAGGAGGAGCGGAGGGGGAGGAGGACGAGGGGGAGGGGCGACGCCGACGCCGACGCCAACGCCGACGCCGACGCCGCACAGGCTGGAAACGGGTCATGTGCCTCCCCCCGAGGTCACGTGACCCGCCCGGACCATACTACACAGTGAGGGGAGGAGGAGGAGGAGGAGGAGGAGGGGGAGGAGGAGGAGAGGGAGGGGCGCGGTTACGCCGACGCCGACGGCGACGGCGACGGCGACGGCGACGGCGACGGCGACGGCGACGCCGACGCCGCTCAGGCTGGAAACGGGCCCCTAAGAGCTGCGCTCTAAAATGAAAGCCGCTTACAACTCCCTGTAACGCCGAATTAGGGCGCAGCTCTTGAGGAGGAGGAGGGAAGGGTACTGGGGGGGTGGGTCAAGTGACCTCGGGGGGCGGGGGGTCACGTGACCTTGTGGGAGTCACGTGACCTTGGGGCATCACGTGACGTCGGGGGGGTCACGTGACCTGGGGCCACGTGACGATGCCGATGACATCATCAGTGACGTCACTGATGACGTCATCAGTGATGGTGACGATGACGATGCAGATGCCGGTGACGTCACTGATGACGTCATCAGTGGCTATGACGTCAACAGGGGGTCACATGACCTCGGGGGTATCCCCAGGTCACGTGACCCCGGGGGGGTCACGTGACCTGGGTAACTCGTGACCCTCGTGAGGGTAACCCTAGTAACCTTTGTGAGGGCAACTCTCGTGACCCTCGTGAGGGTAACTCTCGTGACCCTCGTGAGGGTAACTCTCATGACCCTCGTGAGGGTAACTCTCGTAACCCTCGTGACCCTCGTGAAGGTTACCCTCACGAGGGTTACTAACCCTCGTAACCCTCGTGAGGGTTACGAGGGTAAGTAACCCTCGTGAAGGTAACCCTTTTGAGGGTAACTAATTCTCGTGGCCCTCGTAATCCTCGTGAGGGTAACCCTCATTAGATTAACCCTCGTAACCCTCACGAGGGTTACGAGGGTTGCGGTTACGCCGACGGCAACGTCGACGCCGACGCCGACGGCGCTCAAGCCGGGAACGGGCCCCTAAGAGCTGCGCTCTAAAACAAGCGCGTCTCCCATAGAGAAGCATAGGAAACCGGGCTTTCGACAGGCAGCCACTAGCCGATCATCGAAGGGTCATCAGGTGGCGCCGGCACCAACCAAAACGAGGAGAGGACATTATCTGGCAGCTGCAACACATACACTGTCTACACCTATATATATCTTGCATCTAGGCGCACGTGCACCACTGTGCTCGTGCGACATCTACAACCTCCCGTTTCGGCATAACTTGGCAAGTGACAAACACCTGTGCCCCATCGAGCCAATAAGAGTGATGGAACAAAGCACAAGACAGCTTTCTACACGAGGAGTGCACTGCGACGATGCATTGTCACGTGCTTCGCTCGCCCCGACGCTTTGACTGATTTGCTAAGGCTGTCTGCTGAGGTGTGTTCATCATTTGTCTAATACTCCTGTTATGCGACAAAATTCATGTCATTTCCATCGGCTGACAGCTGAGCGATAGACCAATGTGTGTGCAACATTTCTGGCACGTGTTCTATGCGCAACATGATAGGGTTGTGAGCAGATTTGCCGATCGCACAAATGGTGTTCGGTGGAAAGGCAATAATTTTCCCGTATGACAGCTTGCAGATTGCCCAATTTATGTGGGATCCCGCATGTTGATGATACAATAAAGTACTAAGCCTTAGCAGTAGGACAAGGCTCTCTTATTGCCTCGTGGAGTAGAAAGAAACCTCACACCTGCTCATCAGTACAAGCAAAGTTGCGGCATCTGCGAGCTGTAATACTTACTCTTCGAATGGGGAAGTTGAGAGAAAAAGCATGTTCATGGGTGTAGACTATTCAAAATTGCAGCAGATTTCAACAAAATTTTTCACGGAGGTGGTCAGTGTTTTCTCTCTTCCCAACCAAAATTCCTCTAGGTTTCGAGCTGTGCGCAAAGAAGGGATGATTTCTGTTTTCGCCGGGCTTTGCTTGTCAAGGGAGTTCTCTGCAAGCCCCAAGGTGCCTTTGCAGACTCAAAACGATATGGGATTGTAGAACTACTGGAAAATGTTGGATAGTAGCTCTGAGGTAATTTGGAAAATATAGGCCAGTCTGTTCTCGTACGCATTTTTGTTTCATCTCCGACTTCAGTTGTATTTGCGCAACGGCATAAGGTACTGCTGGTGTTTGGCTGTTGGGAAAGAGAACTGGCAAAGCACTCCCCTTTCAATTCTTTCGGCTTTCAGACTCTTAGTGGCACTCAGAGTTTGCACCCTTGTGTATAAGACAGGCACCTTGTCCAAACATTAATTTTGTGTGGATTTCTATTATGAAATTGATTTCTTATTTTGTGTATTGCTTGTACAAATGTGCAGTCAAAATGTAATATGCTGTTGGGAACAGCATATTGCATGTTGCTGCTGGAAACGGCACTCCTCATCAAGGAGTAGAGGTACACAGGTGTACAACTCACCACGAGCAGTGGCTATATACAGGCACATGGATCTGCCGTTCGGACAAAAGCCATGAGGGGCAAGTGAGTGTTGGTGGCAATGTCCATGTGGGCTTTCAACTGCTATGAGATAGCTCACAGCCTGTGGAAGGTGGTGATGGTGCCTGGTCTGATGTTCACAAATCGGGTGCTGTGTGCGTCGGCCCAGACTCTGGAGTATCCAGAAGTATGTCAGCGGGTGCATGCGCATTCTTCTATACTCACAGGGATGCCGATTCCTTCGTTTCCGGCAGCCGCGCTGCGATTCTCGGTAATTTGTTGCATGCTGCCGCTTCGGAAGCATTTGGCTCAAACTGCGCCAGAGATCGGCACTAATAAACCATGCTGGCCGACTGGCCTGGCTGGCCTCACTTGCGAACCAGCAGGTCAAAAGAATTCGGTCATCTCGCAAGCTTACACGGCGGCGCGCACCGCTTTTGCAGCTACTTTCTTCGCCCAACTCCGACCCTGAGACTCCGATTTTTTATTCGCATAAAGTAAAAGAGAAGTAAATAGAGCATATGCTCCCGCTGTCTGGCCACTGCAAGTGAACTGCCCAACGACTGGTAAAATTACCGTTCATGCAATTACTTGCTCCATGCGTTGCGGCAGAAGCTTGTAAAGGGACGCCGCCAACTCGGGTCGTGCACGGAGTCTCTTACTCTTCTTTCATGCTGGCTTTTGAATCGCAACAGTGTAGCGCATTCGCTCGTTTTTGTCGTCAAATGCGCGTGAACTGCCTCGCGAATGCGGTTCAATCACCAATTATGAGGCATTATAGCCTCCCTGGGAGCATCGGCCGTGCTACCGGCCTTTCATGCTCAAGAATGGCTTTCAACAACTGGCACATCACTTTGTCTTTCACGAGTATAATTGCCAACTCTCGCTCTGTTGCAAAGGTCAAAGTAAACAATTGTTTCGCATCAGGAGGGTTCAACGACTTGGCTCCCGGAATTTTGCGATACATATTCTGCAATATGCCCGGCGCGAGGTGGTATTAATGAACACAAGTTTTCTATCTTTAGGTGCACCCGATGGTAACATTATTGCAAGGGTCAAAACCGTTGCGCAGTGATCTTCAATATCATTTGTTACCTGGCAAAGGAAGTCACCACAAAAGCGGCACATGCTGCCGTGCAAGCTTGTGAAATCGATGCATCATCCTCTCCCGCTACAGGTGCACAGCTGGCCAGCGTGACTTCTTCACTCAAATCTCTTGCATTGTAGATCTCGTGCGCAGCTTGGCACGGATACTTACGAAGTGGCAAGTTATAAATCATTGGAGCACGGCTGCCGGAAACGGAAGAATCGGCATCCTCGCGAGCATGGGAGGATGCGCAGGCGCCGCACTATCAGAGGGCGCAGCAATGCATATCGGTCACCGCTCCCGTGCTCCAAAAACTTTTGTCCCCGACTGTATGCGTTGTCGAAGTTAACCATCGAATGGGAACAGCTGTATGACGACTCTCGAGGCAGAGGCCTTCTTTTCGAGGCACGCGCGGGAACTTTGAAGACAAGGATGTGGAGGTACACCTTGACACCAAGTCGCCAACCACCTGTGTCGTCTGCGGAGCAGCAGACGAGGTGACCGAACACCTAGTACTGGTGTACGAGGTCCTCAGCCCATGTTCCCGTGCAACCGGGCCGCCGGAGACGTTGAGTTTTCTGGCGGCGGGTGTCGAGGGTGACAACCAGGGACACGTGAAGCATGTAGGGGCCACCAAACGCACACCGGAACAGGGGTAGGTGTACTCCTGGCGGCTGTTGTGGAAGAAGCGAATTGGCCCAAACGAACTCGCCGGACTCTTGGGGCCCACTCACGCCAACCCAACGGACCTAACTAATCCAACAGACAAAGAACTTGGCTAGTCTTGGCTGGGCACTTGGTGGGCCCAGCCGAGTTGGCTTTGACAGGCCCTCACGAAACCTCCGGCGAGCGGCTTCCCATTACAAAGAAGTCGCCATTAAATCCAATCCAATCCAGTAATAAAAAATCGTGAGCCATTCCTTGTGAAGGTGGATGAGCAGCAAAGCTGTTTAGCACACGACACAGACTTGACACAGAATTTCTAACGAAGGTGCAAACACATTTATTGTCTTGACTGGTGGTCCATCGTGACTAGCCGGAGGAAACTAGACACGCGCGACGGGACTGCCACCCTGGGAGAGCGGAAGGAAAGGAAACTAGGCACGCAAGCGGCTTGGAACAACGACAAGGAGAAAGCGGTGAGGGTAGACATGGCTGACGCGGGTCGCACAGTGGCAAATCTTTGAGAAACCAATTATCTACCCGAGACTGTTGACCTTGAAAATGGTGCCTATTGGTAGCTAATCTACTGAAAATGTACAGTCTAAGCTCATTACAACAGACCTGGTTACAACAGACATTTATATATAACATACTGATTTGTGAAGTTCGGTTGGTTTTCCTCTACATACCATTGACTCAACTTTATATCTGCACACAACATACTCTTCTTACAACAGACCGAAATCTGGGTGAAACTCGAGGTGTGTTGTAACGAGCTTAGACTGTACATCCAAGTGATGAGACGTACAAGCTTTTGCATAGAATGAAGCGATTTTGCATCAAATCCGGGACCAGAGTTTTTGTTGACGCACATGAAAAATCCATGGAATCCTAGCTATACACGGCTTCGCTCTAAATAAAAAAAGTTCTTCATTGCAGGTGTTATGCCCCAAGTGCAAGAGCAAGGTTGGAAACTACAACTGGGCAGGTATGTGTCGCATGCATGCAAAAAATAGCCTTAAAAAAAAAAGAAAAAAAAAAAAAAGCATTTAGACTGTGTGAGGTTTTTGTTTCAGTAACCATAAGTCAATGCTACTAGAACTCCTCAGTTGGGAAGATCACCTTTGAAACCCGGACAGCTTGCGTCTCCTGAGACCGAACTAGGTACGATTACATGAAACTTGCTTTATGTAGCTACTGCGAGATGGCGCCACCGGCCTTTGCACGATTCGACTGGACCGACACGTGCTGCTCTACGGTTCCCGGAGTGGCCGCCCCAGGAGAAATAGCGGCGTTGCCATCGCATCTAGTTCAGTTCTTGAGTATGGATCGGAGCCACTTTTTCAAAGGTTTCCCAACGGAGTTGGTTTTAGTAATGTTGCCATAAGTCTAGAGATTTTGACATATGATACCAACCGCCACAATTACGTTCATGCGCAGTCCGTGCTTTCTGCAATGCATGACTAATTTTTGCAGTGTGAAAGACAGTTTGTTTTTGTCACCCCACACCCTGCACACCCAAGGCGAGATTCTAAGCAGTTCTCGGAGCAAGAGATTAGAAACTCGTGAGCGCGTTGCACTGGCTGGCCACTCCTTAAAAGGGCCGTAAAGACAATTAAAATTTTTTCAAAATAAAGTTTTTAGATAAGTTTGGTTTCTAGCATGCCACCCATTTCTTCTTTTCTATAACTAACTCTTATTTCTGTGCCTGCAGATAATTTTGCTAAACCAAAACAAACATTCGGATTTCTTTTTTTTTGCCTTTGGAAAGGAAAGTGACCTCGAGGAGCACTGCTGGTTTTCGGTAGCATTTAGTGGACGTTCAGCGCGTTGGCAGTTGGCAGAAGGAGCGGCATATTGGTCACTGCTGGACTCATCGACCTGGAAGAAACGGATGACAACACCGCGCTCACAAAGGAGTTTGAGCTCCCGTTCAGCGATGGACCGCGGGAGGCTTCTCAGGATGCGAAACTCTGGATTGGCGCTTTATGAGGGTGCCCCAGACTTGCCACCAACTTCCCGGTCGCCGCCTCTGAGCGACTTCACCCACCTCCCCGACACAGCCAGAACACTAAGAGCACACCATTTGTTTGAACCATTTGCCTGACGAGGAACCCGTTGTGGTCACGCTTCGACGTCACATGGCGCACTTTAGTTCACGTTTCTGCCGCCGTCTCGGGGGGTCTGTAGCATCGTTCCTGGCGCAATTCTTACAACTGTTTAATTGACTGGTGCGGCACCCAAACGTTTGTTCGGGCTAGAACTTGGTCAACAGTGTACGAGACGTGCTTGACGACAATTTTAATCGTTCAATAAAACTTATAAATTGCCTTCATGGTCCCTTTCAGGGGTGTCTAAACAGGATACTTCAGAACGCGCAAGGCGGCACTTCTCCACCATTTAAAGCGAAAGTTAAAGTCCACAGTCCCTCTTCTGTTCAGACATTCACTAGGAAAACGTCACGGCTTTCGTCCTCGTCTCCTCCACCTTTTCTGTGACCTCCGTGCTCAATAGACTGAATGTCACACGCCACCTGCCAGTGGTGTGCCTGTTGCCCGTCCATCTGTTCTGGCGCGCCCTTGTATCCTTCCCTTTCCCATTTTCGGGACTTGAACAGCAGTGGAGACGGACGGAAGTGGATCGCCACACTTCATATGGCAGAGAAGTGTCGTGTGTGCTTGAAGTGTCCCGTCTGGACAGCCCTCTACCCGCATGTAATGGCTCGAGGGCTTCAAACTTTGTGCAGGGCTCTACTGCGAGTGCGGAGCTTGCGTCCAGCCCGGCTTCCACATCACACCTGGCAGGGTCGACCGCACCCTCTCCACTTCAAAACCAGTGTCTCCCAGCGCAGACGTGGCACAGAGCGACGACAGCAATTCCTAGTCTGTGTTTGCACCTGTGATTGTCACAAAGTCAGACTACGGGGTGTAGTGAACGGCGCCCATGTTGTTAGGGCGAGTGTTATGGTGAGCGAAAGAATAGCCACGTCTTAGCTGGCTACATGAGGGGGGGGAAGTCAGCCCAATAGACTGAAATCTGTGTCTAAGTGTGGTTATTTGAAGACGAAGGAGCTGCTTTAAATATGTGTACCGACTGTCATGTCCAAGATTCTTGCCTCCCTGGGTCGAAACCAGTCTTTCACCCCTTTCATTTGTCACGAGCACTCTTTTGCACCATAGGTTTGCAATAAGCGGGGAATGAGCGGCCGGACACGACAAATTAAAGGCACGCTTGAAATGTTCTTGTTCTCTGTCACAATTGTTGGAAAGGTGCCCAGAAGTCATCAAGGTTCTTGCATGTTTTCTCAGTTTTCGTTCAAGTTCGGGTCAGCTAAACATTTTAGTAACTCAATTTGAGATAATACTCGCAAACCTAACACTGCTCAAATTGGGAATTGCTTTAAATGCAAAGTTGGCTCAGGCTTCTGTGAAGAATGGCTCAATGAAAGCATGCAGTTCAGAGCTGTAAAAATCACTCTTGAAACTAAATGGGTTGCAGTTTGTTCTCCCAAAAAGTAATGGAGCGGCCTTCCGGTTACTGCTCAAATGTCCCATTCTGCAACTGGTAACCAACAGTTCGGTTTCCAGCATTGAGAAGAGATCTACAGTTTTGTCTGGATTTAGCACTCTGCTGATGACAGAGTTTTGAGGCAATGACAACGTATGCCGCCAATGTCGAGTCAAAGTGAAGTTTTGTATTTGTCAGCAGTTTGAAAAACGGCATTTGAGCCGCAGTTACTCCAAAAATTAATAAACCTGCAGTTACTGAAATATTGTAACTTAGAAAAAATTTAATTACAGTAACTCTGAATTAGTTACTTTACAGGCTTGGATGCACCCCAACCCACCGAGAACATCTTTTTTAGCAAATTGCTCCTCTAACTGGTGCCTGTGGAAAAGTAATCAAATCTAGTACAAAGCTTACAAAGTGTTGCCTATAATTATTACTAACAGATGCATTTGATGCAACGGAGAGCTTGCACTATGTGGTAATTACAAGTTGTCTCAAAGCTTCCAAGCGAGCCAGTCTGGAGCAAGTCGTGGAGTGACAGCTTAGCAAACCAGTACTCCCCATCCAGTCTTCAGACACATAGTGCTCCATGCCGAGAATCAGGTACTGGAGTAAATTTCTATAGCAATAGTCATCCCAAGGACAAGCATAGATATGTTTAGAAAGCTCATCCTGCCCAAATGCTTGTTGGTTTTCATACACGTAAAATGCCGAGCAATTGCCCACCCAAAAGTTAATTGCTGTAAAAAAATCTGGGATGGGTGCTGGTTAGGTTTGAGCGGAAAAGCAGGTTACACGTTGTAGGGTGGGCCCTTGCTTGGTCCGGTGGAATTTCTGATATTTAAAATGTCAAGCTTCTCCGCTTTGCACCAGTGCATGCCCATAAAGCTTCACCACATTGCACCTGCAGTGTGCTGAAGCTAAAGCAGATAATGCAAAGGAGCACCTCAGTGGGCCCAAAAGGTTTGCTGGGGTGGGCACTTGACACCACCTTTGCATATATATTTTGAAAGTAGGGGTGTGCGCTTGAGATGTGGGCACATGCTCGGTAGTGTACAGTATATGCTCGGTAGTGTACAGTATATGCTCGGTAGTGTACAGTGTACAGTATATGGAACTCCAGCAGTACGGTTGAGTTTTGTTGCTGAATTTTTGTCGCCGTAGGCTTGCCCACAATGCAAAAGTATGAACTTACCAAAAGACCTTCCAAGCGTCTTTGAATGTCTGAAAGACTGCATCCCAATGTGTCGTTTTGTCTTTTGGCCTCTAATAAAGCCCCCTCCAACGTGGATTGCCATCGCAACGTCCGAGATAGCCTATAACGACTCCAGACAGATTGCTTGAATAAATGAAATTGTTACACATGTTGCTAATCTCTCTTTTGTTTGGTATACCTAAAAGCGAAATAAGACAGCAATCTTTATTGTCGTAAACTTTTTATAAAAGGTTGGAACAAGGTCGTACAAATGCAAGCTTTCAATTCATCTGGCTTCTAAGTAAGTGTGCAGGCTTCAGTTTCAGGTGTACATAGTTTCACGTTGACCAATGCAGGTGCCACTGCTTGCCAGACGTTCTCTAATGGCTCACGGAAACACTGCATATCGAAATCGCCGAATATTGCCAGGTTTTTGCAAACTTTAGTAATGTGCTTGGAGCAATATGTTAGGTTCATATATTTGGGGAAGGATGCTACATACCGGCTTAAGAAGCAATTGCCGACATGTTCTGGGGATTGTTAAACATCCGGCGCACACACGTGTAGCCTTCCCAACTGAGCTCCGACCCATGTATGACATCAGCTTAATCCTTTGACATACACAATTATTTGATGAAGAGCGTCGTCAGTTGTCCTCGCATATTACCTAACCTTTCTTTGAGAACATCTATCAAAAGCATCGCAGCCTAGAAATGAAATTGTCAACTTCGAGCCAAAAGAATGTAAACCGCTTTCTGCGCATTTAACGAGCAAACTTTAATTTTTGCCGCTTTAGCAATTCTATGTACATCTGCTCTACCCAATCTACGATTGGGCCCTTCACCAGTTTCAAAAGGTTACGCTCGGCTAGAGCAAGCCAACTGCTGCCAATCGAGCAAAGTAAATTCAGTTTGGTAGACCTTTGGAAAGAAAAAGTTAATTTACAGCCCGAAAACAAAAGAACTTCCCTCTGCCAGCAACAAATGTTAAACAAGGTGCAGAAACGCGCAACTGTTCTAATCCACACCGACATTTCTTGCTCGTGGAAAACTAGTCATTTCATCTCTCGCATTCCCGCCCCAATTTTGTTTTGTATAGTATATACATACTACAAGTGGCTAAATACGTAGACCTTTTGCTAAATTGCCCCAACTACCAAGAAGCATGCTGCGGGTGTAGTTACACGCGCCGCATGTGCTGCCGTGCGCAGCAGTAACTGTTCAAGAGCTTAAAACAAATGACATGTTGCACGCACTTCGTCGGTGCCTTATTTCGGTCATTTACTTCGAATCTTTTATACGGGGAAGGCGAACGCGTGTGGTGCATAGACCGACGTTCCCAACATTCTCTTTGATGCGTGGGCAATTAGAAATAAGTCTATTTAGACCAAACTCTACCATTTTCCTGCAGGCAATACCATTTTGAAAAAAATGTTTTGTTTACATTAGCCACTGCACCATTCTGAACTGATGGCAAGTCTCGTGCCACCTCGCGGAACTCTCCGGCACAAAGTGAACCTTTAAAAAAAACTGCGGGGGTTTTTGCGCGGAAACCACGCCGTTGAGAGCCGCCTTCTCGAGCTTCCTGCACCACCCACCAAGAGCGGCGGTACGACGGCGAAACGAGCCGGTGGAAGCGGGTGCCAACCGAGGAAGCCGGTACCGTGACTCGCCAACTTCGGTTCCGGGGCTTTCGTCCAGGTCCTTGCACTTGCAGACTCCTTCGACGTATGTACACAGCCTAGAAGGGGGAGGGCCCTAAGTTTGCTGGAGGACGTATGCGTGTGTCGTGACTAGCCGCCGCCGTCTGCCACTAGAGGAGGCCGTCCTCGCTCGAAGCCATGGCCGAAGATCCGAAGCTGATGGACTGCGGCGTCAGGCCGAGTAGCAGGGCCAGCTTTACGGCCACGTTGGAAGGCTTGAGGACCTTCTCGAGGTCGTCGTCCGGCATGATCTGTTTTCGTCGGCGAGAAAGAGAGATAGATGCATTGGACCCTTCGTCAGGCAGCGAGGGTTTGTATCGTATGTCGTCCGCGATATAAGGCAAAAAATACCTCCACAAATGCTGCCCCGATTCAGGCATAGTAATATGATGGCTGGAATAAGTCTTCGACTGGTGTGTTCGGCGTCTTATCCCGCCCGTGCATCAAAAGTGGTCCGGTAGGAAATGACGTCGCAAGAGCCGACATGTCCTGTCGGATGTCGAGATCCTGCCGTTTGGTCCCTAAAGTTCCGGCAAAAATCAAGAGTTGAGACGCCGTCGTCACGGCGTCTTAACTCCTGGCTACCAAAGCTGTAGAACAACCTGCAGCAGAACGGAGGTCTACCACAACCGCCACCCCTGCTGGGACACCGCCAGGGTCATGACCAGCGCCAGCGTGACGCTTGTACGACGACATCAGGACGAAACCGAGTGACCACTTTTTAGGACGCAGTAAACACACCAGTTGGAGACATGTTCTGGGCACCATGACACTAACTATACTGCTAATTTCACTCAATGGTCATGTCCCTTCCATATTCTCTTAATTCACTTTGTTGCGGAAGCATTAAAAATAACTACAAGGTGCTTCCCCCTGCCCGATAACCTGCCTGTACCAAAAGCAATATTGTCAAGAAGCAGAAATTAAACGACGACTACTACATGGATCAAGATTTGAAATTTTGCTCTAACATGTGGCAAACAGAACTACGAAACATATGCCAAGCATATGTTTCGAGAACTATGCTCAGCATAGTTTATTTTTAGACTGCCCGCTCGACCTGCAAGCCTGCCTTCCTGACGTCACGGCACTGAAAAGTGCGGGTGTATTTGAATGTTGGTTTTGGCATCATTTTCACTTGCAGATTTCACAATAACTATGTATTCTGAATGTTGCGATACTAAATAGCATACAAACAAGGGCAGGAGCCGGCGATTGCAGAAAATATAGTTAGTTGGGGTAGCTCAAAAAATTGCCTAGAGCTTTTTTTTTTTAGATATAACTTGCAATCCAGTTCAAGTGATATTTACACAGCTAACTTGCCTTTACAATCTGACTGCAAATATGCACCTACTTGGTTTTGATGTAGCTTAATTATTTTTGTTACTATTCAAAGTTTTATTTGCAAGGGTTATGGGAAGGATTGAGACAAACTGAAATACTGAAATTAGAAAATAAACATAGCGCAGTAAACTGAAAAGTCTGTAGAGTCCAATAAGGTATAAATGAAAGCTCAAGGATGATCTATAGGTTCCTTATAGACCGACACACTGTTTCCAAACAAGCCCACATTTGTCCACAACAGGTGTGGGCACTGCACATGCGCAGAAACCAGATTCGTGAGAGGTGAAGCTTCTGCGCATGCGCCATGGCGACAACAGCGCCATTGCAGAGCTGCGATGTCGGAGCCGCGTGTTTGTCTACAACACTTTTGAATTGTTTACTTTCAAAACTATTTATTGCAAGCAGAAATAGAAGGCATCTGAAGAAAGTCTGGTAACATATTTAACATATTTATACCCCTTATTGCATACCTTGCACATACACCTACCAGGGAACAAAAAAAAATAATAATGAAGATGGGATATGTGCAAGTAGAGATATGGCTTCCATAAAATAGCAAAGTGTGTAAATACAGTCAAATGCCTTTATAACGAATGCCTCTACTACAAAAATGGTCGTTTAACGAAGTAAAGCAAAGTCCTTGCCAATCTTCTGTCAGTGGTTCTCAACCATCGGTGTTTCGCAGACCCCTCGTCGATCGGCGGAGATGATAGAGGACCCCTTCGCGGGGACGAGAGGAGAAAGGTATAGGTTAAATATAATAATGATTTAATAAATGGATACAACTAAGGGATAGTGTGCAGCAGGCCTCTCATATTTCCATACACACGCGTCCGAAAACTGAAACATTTCTTCTCGACCTGAAAACAGACAACTTTTATTGCCGGGCTTGACTGATGAGGCAGGGCTTCGTGGACCCCTAGAATGCTTTTGCGGACCCGTATTTGAGAACCACTGTCCTATGTGTTTCTCTGACCACTACAACAAATTCCAAATATTCCTGTTTAACGAAGCAATTGCACAGCACCACAAAGCAAAACTAATCGGTATTATGACTTTTCTTTATGAAAAGTAGCATAGAAAAAAAGCATAGAGAACAGAAATATGGGTGGCTATGACAGTGGTGTCAATCATAGCCACATAGGTGGCTATGATTGACACCACTGCTGCGCTGCGCCACCTTCGCAGCGCCCCTCCACCGTTGCCGCGCTGCACATTCTCAGCTTTGGGCCCAAAGAATTTGTTAGTGTGTACTGTTGTTTTCTATGTGACACTATGTGACTGTTGCTTCGCTGCGTAGAGAACCTGTATGCAGCAACGTAGTCATGTAGCGCCATCTAAACACAAGGTTGCACGCTAACAAATTATTTGGACCCAAAACCCAGAATGTGCGGCGTGGCAACGGCAGAAGCGGCGCAGCGGACGAGGTGCTACCCAGCTCGTGCATAAATACTTTCGTTCGTTTTCGCTTATGCCATTGATTGAGTACACGTACGGTCCTTCGTCTTCAGGTAAATTGCGATATTTTCCCAATATTTGCACCCGGAACATATTTTTTAAAAATCAGATTAAACATGATTTTTTCACAATTTTGCAAAATATTTTATAGGAAGCAAAGGGTTAGCGGGAACACATGTGCTAGCTCCAGATCTCGGAAACATAGCTAGATTATGTTTGCTTCAGTGAACAGCAGTGACATAAATAGAGCACAAAAATGTTGCTTTTATTGGGAGGTATCCTTTGCCTTTCCTTTATTTCAGTTTCAACTAGCAAAACAAAAATAAGAGAAGGATGAGAAACTACTCTCACAAGTTTGTTTCAAAGGAAACAGAAGATATTTTGTTCTTGTCAAACTGAAGTCATTGTTGTGCACTGCAAATGCACGCATAAGCTGTGATGTTGAGAGAATGTTGTCTTAATTCAGGTATCTCCAAAAAGTAGACTGGACTAGGATGGATACGGAGCATGCAGAAGATTTTGTAATCAACGAGGATTATGAAAAATCAAAAAGCCCAAGTGAGCTCTTAACCATGTGCAATGCTATCTTGTATACTCTAACAGCTTGAATATGAAAAAATAAAATATAAATTAAGAGATGAATGATTTTTATTGTTAATTAGATCTATATATCTTTCTAAATATAACTTAAAAACCCGATTCTCCCCCGATTACCAGTTTGGAGCAAAGTTCCCAATTTTTAGCCCCCCCCCCCCCCCCCCCCCCACCCATATAAAACCCGAACATGAAGAACCCTAAATATGCACCGCCCCACTCCAAGACGAGTATTTTTTTTCAACACTCCATTTGGGCAATACGCACACTCGTTTTCTTATTTCACGTGCATGTCGGCGCATTTGAAAGGACCCGTGCAAACAAGAGTACCTATATATATATATAAAAGTATTTTCATGGGCAGCCAACCTTTTTAAACTGCTTCGGCATTTGTTTGACCGAAGCACCAATCCTCATCAGGATCCAAGGCCCAAATTGTTCCGCCTTTAAGCGATCATACAACATCAAGAAAATGTTATCTGCGACTCTGCCTGCGATGCCAAAATCTAACAACCTAAGCGAATATAGTAGATTCGCACAGAAAAACAAGCATCCCTCTTGTGCCGGACAGATGAGAAAAAAGGTCGGGGAGCTCAGTTGGCTCGGTGGAGCCGCCCCTCCCCATCCTCGCTTCTCGATGTGCCGCGCACTGCGGCTGTTGCGTGCCAAAAGCCTGGCCGATTCTGCTGTGCTGCAGAGGTAGTGGCACTGCACCCGCTCCTACGAGAGCAACACGGCCGTTTCGAGAGCCTCCTCCGATTGACGCGTCGCCCGATTTAGAAAAGGCCAAATTTACTTCCGGCGAATGCCTCTCGTTCACTGCATGATCAAGGGTCAATGTCTGTGGTTTAGTGATTGTTGTGATTCATATTTTGGTAAGTCAGTTAAGTTAGTTGCGTGGAAGTCTGGACAGTGGGAAATTAGTCCACGGCAAGGAGCGCCCAGTGTCTCGGCTGTAAATGACAAACCTTGCCAGTGGCGGTATGATCAGTGCGACCTCTCGCCTGGTGTCTTTAAACTGCATCATGCAAAAGTGAGGATACGAACGTGTGCCGGAACAACTTTCATTGTTAGAAAAAAATTTTAAGTCTTTCCACTCTGGTAAAGAAGGAAGACCAGCCAAGCTGTACTATGGTCAGACGACCTCAAGGACGACTTCTTGGACGACCTCAAGGACAACTTCTAAGACGGCCTCGAGGACGCCACCCAGAGGATGACATCTAGACGACCTCAAGGACGACGCCTAGGACGACCTCAAAGACGACGTCTAGGACGACCTCAAGAATGACTTCTAGGGCGATTTCGAAGAAAACGTCCAGGACGACCTCAAGAACGACTTCTAGAGCGATTTCGAAGAAAATTGTCTAGGACGACCTCAAGGACGACTTCTGGGACGACCTTGAAGACAACGTCTAGGGCGACCTTAAGAATGACCTTGAGGACAACCTTGAGAACGACATCAAGGACGACCTCAAGGACGACGTCTAGGACAACCTCAAGGACAACTTCTTGGGCAACCTCAAGGACCACGTTTAAGAAGACCTCAAGGACAACTTGTAGGACGACTTCGAGGACGACATCTAGGACAACGCCTAGAGAAATTCAGCCTTTCCACTCTGGTGAAAACCAGAGTGGAAATGCTGGAAAGGTTGTCGCCATCTATGAGCAAGGCCGGCAAGCTGATTGTCAGGTTGCCGCCGTCACTCATAGATGGCGGTAGCTGTCCAGAGTTTTTTGTCAACATTTCTTTGCGGGGGACACGATGCTGGGGAAACTAGCCCTTAACAGCTCCGCTGTAAAAACTGGTAAATGAGCTTAAAGCTTGGATTGTGCAGCGAGAGTTTTTGCCCACGTGCTCCGAGCTGCGATGTGCTACCAGAATCGGCCAAGTTTCCCCCTTTTTATAAGTTAATTGTAAATGTACAAAACCTCATTCCTGGTGTCGCTTATACTAGAATTTGGCCCTACAACTTTTCCTGAAACACCTCGCATGTCGCGTAGGTACATCAATATGCGATAGCACAAATTCGGTTTCATGTGATCGATTTTTCGCACTCAACTACTACAACGAAGTTACCTGTACTTCAAAAAATTTTGCCATTCCCACACACTTTGTTATAAAGGCGTTTGACTGTTGTACATTCTGAAATAATAACAAAAAAACATGCGCAGACCCATTTTACTTTGTTTCCTAGACAATATTTCAAGACAGAAGAGACTTATTTCACGAAAATACTTCAGGACGAAGTGTTTAGTGCCTTTCAATCTTCAAAAGCACAATTTCAAAAATGTGCGTTTTTTTTTCAAAGAAAGGAGAGCCGCAACGGCGTGAGGTTCCTTCACGTGCTCTTTGCTTGCTTGCAATTGGAAACATTAAAAAACAAAGTCGCTCTTTCAATGGGTCACCTGGTCAGGGAAGAAGTGAGAAGGGTGATCAGGTATGCTCACCTTGTCACAGGTGTGTTCGTGAATGAGGCCATCTGCACCGACCTTCATCACGGAAAAGCCGTCCGTCCACCTAGGATCGGGGGAACGTCATATTCAGGTCCAGAATGTGCATCTTACGCCATCCTCACTACGAAATCGTCGGCCCCAGCAAACATTCCAGAGAAGAATATCCTTCGCTATCGATCAATTAATTAATATTAGTTAAAGGGGCTCTGCAACTTTATTGTGTACGAACGTTTCTCACTTTACACAAGCTTACTGGCATTAGTGGGACCCAAGTACTGGCACTAGCCGGACGCTCGCACGCAATGCCACTGACCAAGAAGCTTCTTTGTCGCTCTCTAATTGCAAGGATACAAGCGGACATTCTCTTTCAGTTTCACCTTCACGAAACTTAATGACCAAGTTGTGAGGATCGCACTGTTAGTGTTGCCAACAACGCAATCCCCAGGATTTCGTTGTCATGCTTTGTGATACCCGAGGTGACAATATTAAATGCGGCTCATACACTGGACACAAGCACTGTGTAAGCATTCCATTTTGGCTCGCGACAATTAATGCCTCGACGTGCATTCGGGCAGCGGCTCGTGCCCAATCACTACAATGACGGGAATAGCCAAACTTTAACAATGTGTCCAGCCCAGGATGTGCCCTGTGCTTTGACAACCCCAGTGCGTGGCTACGATAAACATTGGCGGCATGTAATCAGCTTCAGAACACGCGAGTTGAGCGGGTGAACGCTGTTTGTTTTTCTCCAATTTTCTCCGCAACTGCCATTGCCTGGAGAAAAGAAACTAATGCATGTTTCATAGCTAATGCATGTCGAGAAATAATTCTAAGCGGTACAGTATAGACCAGTTACAACGTAACCGCTTACAGTGCAAAACCGGGTATAACGCGGCTTTTTTTAAACCACCGGTTCGCCTCCCATAGAACTCCATGTATTTACATACCGCTTAAAATGCAGGCGCGCGAAGGGAAATACCGGTTATGGAGCGGTTTTTGGAACAGCGCACCGACTGACTAGCGCTGCGAGCACGCTTCTTTGTGTGACACTAGATAACGGCGCGAGCCGCAAGCGGCACTTGCGGGACAAGGAGGTTACTCAAAGAAGCGGGGAGAAGCGAAGAGAGAGGCTTCAGTTGCCATAGCGACGGAGGGACGCACGCACGTGTCGTTCACATGCGCGCGTCCCTCAGCTGCATTGGAAACAAACAGCCGCAACGACAGACCAATCGCAGATCGAGGAGAAGTGTTCGCGCGCGTTGCATGCCGGTCGCGGGCCGGCTGCTTCTATCCGCAAACATGGCGTCGGTTGTGATCGCCGACGTAGACGGCGGGATGGAAGCTCATCGTTCCGCGTAAAAGCGCCATCCTTGACTGTGAATTTTCGTTGTGTGTCGCTATGATAACCCAGCACGTACTAGAAGGGAAGATCCACCTACTCGTGCGGCGATGTTGTGGCGGCACTCTCAAGACGGCAGAAACGCCCCTGTCGTCGTGTTTGTTTACTTCGACTACAGTGGTGCTTTCTAAGCATTTGTGTTTTCGAATATCACCCAGATTTCTTATTTGGAGCATTTCATGCCTGTGCTCAAGTTGAAGGTATTACTGGCGCGTACCGTATAAAGGATGCGAATTTTCACGCGTTTTCATCGCCGGAGAAAAGTGATTAAGGTTAGCAATCCTGAATGCTCGCAAAGTCCGTCCGCAACCTGCGGACGGACGTTGCGACAGGCAAAAGTCACTCATTTCTTTCAAAATGTGTGACACACTTGAGAGAGAAGTGCACTAGTCTGGTGAAATAAAGACTTTCCTCAAACTAAGCTTTATTTTACACCTAACATAAAATAAATTCTTTTACGAAGGTAAGTTGTCTGATGGCATGTATTTTGGCCTGAAAAATTGATGTTTTGGTTATAGCGCGGTACCGCTTATAGTGCAGATTTTCGCGACTCCCGCGACATACGTTATATGCGGTCTACACTGTATTTACTGAAAGTACAAAAATTGCGGCATCGCCCCTTTAAGATTGGAGCTAGTCATCACTGGAGACAAAAGCAATTTTTGAAATTGACAACAAAGCAGGGTGGTATTTTTTTTCATTCATTCAACATTAAAGATAGGTTGAAGTAAAACAGTTGCACAAGCAAAAACGTTCGGCAACTGAAGCGACAAGATGAAGGTATCTTGATAATGTGGATGCTTGGGCAAGTTGGTAATTCATGCTTGGATGGAACAGCACGGATGAACAGTCACACTCACATGCACACAAGAAGCGCTGCGAGTCTGTCTCCTTCTTGCGTGCATGTGAGTATGACTGTTCATCCGCGCTGTTCCATCCAAGCATGAAGGTATCGCTTACTAGAATATTGTAAAACCCCTTATATTTGTGGCCCCAATTTTTTGCAAATAGGTCAGAGTTATTTATTTGCAAACATTAAATTTTGCGAATTCTAAAGGCCACAATTTGCATCTCTAGACAATTTTTCACACACTTGAAGTTTGCGAATTTCACAGTTTGCAAAAAACAGGATTTTGCAAACATTAAGGATTTTAAGGCATACAGTATACACAAAATAAAACGACAACATAAAACAATGAAGCACCGTAGACAAGATCAACCTTAATTTGTACTAAACTTGAATATGCAGCTTCAATCTGAGACCCTCGCATCTACAGTAAAATTCATCCAAAATCGCTCTGCTCATTTATACTTTCTAACTATCATTGCACAACTATACTTCATTTCAGCTTAAGCCCAGACGCAGCCGATACTACAAGCGCCAGGGCTTTTCAGCGTCCCTGCCAACCACGAGCTCTCATGCAGTGCAAGTACTGTTCAAAGCCGCATGCTCGCACTTGTAGCATTGGCTGCGTCTAGACTTCAGCTGAAACCAAGTATAGCATTGGCTGCGTCTAGACTTCAGCTGAAACCAAGTATAGCATTGGCTCTACGAAAGCATCCCTGTCCTTGCTTAGTCTCTTGCTTCGTAGAAAAATACCTCGCCTATGTTTGTTTCACAAGATTTATTACCCTAATCCAACACTTCAACAAGGGCTATTTACAGAACCATCCCAAATATAATGCACCAATCACCAACTAAAAGTTAAGATCCATTGCAGCTTGTTCTTGGCCCAAACCTCCATTGATTGTAATCACCTTCTCGCAGTTAAAATTACTAACACCACTTATTTTAGACTTAGAATTAATAATCTCTTAACTAATCTTCCATAGTAATTTTTCACTTTTGCCTTTTTATTGTTTTTACTTATACAGGGTGTTTCTTTAGAGCTTAACAGATTTCTTAAAAAAAAAAGCCGTGAAAGCTACACTGAGGCAGTTTGTGCAGGCAAGTTATACGGCCAGGGGGCACAATATAAGGGGCAAATCATCAAGATAAAGCACTAAAATCTGTTCATCAACTTTTTAATTAGTGAGAATAGACATATGGTTTCAATTAGAAACCTATTGAGCATCATCAAAAACCACTAAAGCGGTAATTTTTAGAAATATTTTAAGCGCAGGAGAAGCGTAGCTTTCAGTTATCACACATGCAACAGGCACGAGGCTGGGGCTAAGATAAGAGATGGAAAAACCGTGTGGGCACGTTATCACACTGGTAGCCTTGCCCCTGCAGCACGACTGGTAACTTTAGCACTCCACCGAGCTTCCCACGTGCTCCAAGTCTGCCTAATATCGACCGATTTAGTCGTTTTCAGGACACTCGGCAAGCTTCTAATTAGAACCATGTTTATTTTCAATAACTAAAGTGTTCATTAACACACTTTAGTTAATAAGCCGACTGATTGTTACGATCAGACCCTTCTGCTATGTCCCCCTGGTTGTACAACTCGCCGCACAAACCGCATTAGTGTAGCTTTTGCAGCTTTTTCTGAACAGATCTGTTAAGCTTAAAAGAAAACACCCTTTATATGTCTTTCAGTGCCCCACTCCTCTCCGTAATGCCTTTGGGTCCCGAGTGTAAGTAAATTGAAATAAATTAACGTCGGTGTGGAGCTGTCGAGGAAGGTTTCGATCGGACATGTTTTGAGCGGGAGTACAATCGCGAGCGGAGTGCCCCTGGTGGCCGAAGGCCCCGCTACTCACTCAGCCTCCCGGGACATCATCTTCTTCCACTCCCAGATCCTGAACTTCCAGAACATGAAGAGCACCCGGAGGCCCGAGAGGCCCACGATGCGCCAGCGAATGCGCACCGTGCTGTCCTCCCGGTGGACGGTCATCTTGAGCACCTCGAGCTTGACGTGGGCGTAGCGCAGGTGGCCCAGCATCCGCACCAGGGCCAGCTGCTGCACGTAGCCGGGCAGGCCCCTGCGGAGACCAAGGCGGTGGCATGCCCTTTCTAGAGGTGCCACACGGGCTGGCTCGAGCCGTGCAATGCGTTGCACTACCAGCCAAATTTCTTCCTATTAGGAAGGAGATTCAACCGTCGAGCCCATAATGGCCAGCTTCAGAACTACAGCCAGGGGACCACAACTACGACGCAACATTCGGCCAACGTAGCAGAATGTGGCTAGCATTCTCCCGTGTCACCCGAGGAGGAGCTCTTTTCTAGCCGCTCCGGCTTGCGTGAACGATGCAGCATGCACCTTATATCTACTTAGCACCTGCTCAGCACAAAAGACAGGTCCAGATTGCACCCTCCGACGACTGCTTTCGGGAATGATCCGGCTCGTCACGTCCTGCCGATGTCTATATCACGCTGCCTCCCACTCTATTGAGAAAGAAAGACTTTCCACTAGAGCGAAGCGAACGTCGGAGGAGGAGAGAGTCCTCTTCGGCTTCTCTCCGGCGTTCGCTCTGATAAAGTAAAAAAATAGGAGATCTTCGTGGGAAGAGCGTCTCCTGGTTTTTTTCATCTGTGATGAGGTATTGTGAGCGTATTACTGTTCACTACATAAGTGAGCATCCGCATCGCTTTATTACGGCGATGCTGAGAGGGGTTTCCCCACTGCCGTACGATGTCCCAATAGACGGAAAAATTGAGGAACCCTGTACTCAATAACTTGAGTAGTGGCTCAGTCTGCCAGCCAAAAACTTGGTTACAAAGTGGGTCAAACAATGAACGCTCGAAGAGTGGATACTGCGATAAAAGTTATCGTAAATGCGATATAAACACGGGGCAACTAAAGTTAGCCATAACAATGAAAATGCTACTCTATGACAGCCGGTACACAACACAAAATGGGCACCGTTTAAAATAAATTTGAAATACATCCGAAAGAGTGCACTCCATTTCCTCACGGCCGTTGCTGATGTAGGTAAATTTTGAACGGGGAATTGACACAATTTCAAGCAGCTCTAGGAAAAAGAATTTAAAAAGTAGGGTGATAGTTCCGCATCTGCATGAAAGAAGTTAGTTACATGTGACACCGGGTGGCATCACATGTAACAGAAATGTAAAGCTTCTTTGATGCGAACACCCGAAAGCAGAATCAGCAGATCCGAGCATGAGTAACAGCACTAACCAGATAATTTGTTTCCATTTGTCTCCACGTGCATAGAAATCATACCTTTTTTCTTTTCTTGAATTTTTTTTTTCTCCAAAAACCTACACGCATATTTTTGGCTGGACTCAGTTCTTTCCCGACTCAGATTGCTGTACCCAAGGACAATATGAGCCAAAACTCCCGATCCAGCCTTTTTCTGTGTCCGTGGTCCACACGAGCACAATTATTTCTCAATTTGTCAAACAGTCCGAAGCGTCTGACCTCAACTTTGCATTTCAGTCCTAGTTCAGAGCATAGCTCTCCAAAAGTGGCAGCTATGCCAAAGAAGCTGTTTCGGTTCACATTTTCTGCAATAGTATGTCCCTGTAATCTCCCGTAACATTATGCATTACAATCTTTGGCTAGCCATCATTACCTCTATACACTGCTTCATACAGAATAAGTTATGTTTTGGTCACGCATGGCCGAGACACGGAATAAACTGCGCAACCCCCGCGTCTTGGAAAGCGGCCAACGCGAAGGACCGTGGCCACGCGTCCCGCAGGGCACGACGCCACTCACTGGGTGGTGACGCCACGGATGTTGTTCCTGAACACGATGCCCTTGTGGTACAGGGAGTAGTTGTGGGGCTCCGTGAAGAACTTGGGCAGGGTTTCGGCGAGCGCCGTCTGCAACCTCTGGAGCTGCTCCTCGGAGGCCCTCCCGGGGTGGTCCCTGGGCCCCTCGTCCGCCTGGGCCGCCGGCGTGCCCGAGAACTGGAGCACCTCCCGCTCGTAGTCCGACAGGACCATCCGTGCGGCCATCTGCCGGTCCACGTCGAAACAGTACACCTGGCCACGTGGGGACGGCAAAGGGAAAACTGAATGAGATATAGCTAACACAGCTGGGGCACAAATGGGACAGAAGGAAATTGGGACTCCCTCTCGCGTGGCTCTGGCCCAAAGTCTCAACCCTGTTTCCCAGTGGGTCCGGTGTTGGGGTAAGGCCGACATGATTTGGTCAGAGGAAAGTTGGCGACTCCCTCGCCAACTTTCGAGGGAGTCACCAACTTAATTTTTTTTGCCAGATTTCCCAAAGTTTTTTTTGGCAATATCCCACAATGCTTGATGAGAGTTACAAAAATGCAGAGGGGAAAGACATCAACCTAGTAGCGTGGGGACAGGAATCTTTTGTATTTGGTCTTCAGGCTAGGTTGTGCAAGCTATTGTCCATTATAAAGGGTACAGCCATTAACATTCAATTCATCCAACCTTCCTATTTGAGTACCCATAACACCTGGAAGCCAACTATGAGCTAAAGCCAAAAAGTCAAACGCATGCACACGACTAGGGATGCCGCAAACCTCCTGAAGTTCGAGGTCGAAAGGTTTGGAAATTTTAAACCTAGCCAAGGCTTGAATTCAAGCATTTCACATCTTTGGAATCCCGCTGAGGTTCAAATTCGAAAATGTCAAGGTTTCTAAAAGTTTGAGTTAGAAGATTTCAAGATTTTTGACAAATCGTTCGAAAAATTCAAACATTTTAAATTTATTTAAGATTCAAGTTAGAAAAGTTTTAAGATTTAGAATTCTTTCGAGGTACAAGTTTGAAAGCTTCAATTTTAAGTTTGAAGTCTTAATTTCACGAACGGATATCAAATTCCGCAGTTTCAAACTAAGTTTTCATTAATTAACCTAAACAATCGCAATATGTGCTACAAATCTTATTGACAACGTTGCCCATTTCTCTTATGTCGTGAATATACTCCTCCCTCCTTAGCACTGTGGTACTGACAGTACTACCTGTATTACTCAATTTGCCATAACTTACGAAACAAGCGTTGAACTGGTTGAACGGTTTATCGAAAAACCCCAATGCCAGTCAGGTGAACATACTTCCTACTTATTTGCGAACTAGTAGCAAGGACATCAAACATCGCCTAAATGCAATAAAACGCGTGCACAGGAAGGCATCCAGGTTTCCCGAATATATTCAGTTGCTCCGGGCGCTTATTTCGGCGGGATGACCCGCAAGATGGAGAAAACACTGAACACGGGCACAGCACCTGACACAAGTCAAGGTTGATTAAACTAGACTAAATGAGGGAACCATTCGGCCCGGTAAAATACAGCTGATCAGGTCACGACCGGTTGTTACTGGGCTAACCATATTGCCGCTGCCTGGAACTTCTATGAATGGAGATATTGGCCGCTCTACAGCCGGTTACAAACGATACTGAAGTAAGCGTTGATTCAGCGTTCGCTGTGCGCATCAACATCACGCTCCGTGCGCACCTTTCCTTGACTCAAGGAAATGGGGGGACCTGCATTCAAAAGCAACTAATGCTATCAGGAAGGCTCCTAGGGAAGCACCTTGGTTGAATTTCAAGCCTGCAGATCAGGGATCTGTTGACCCACAGGTTACCTTGAGGCAACCTATGAAGTTTAGTGCGGGAGAGGCTCTGTGCAGAAATCGAAAGGAAGAGGTGTGAGGTCGAGGCCACCCCAAAATGATCATTCAGTGCCTTACAGGCGAGTCGTTCGTGGCACAATTAGCTAAGTAAGACTCTAGTGCAATTTAAACTCCACTTCACACATTGACATCTTGCATTATTTATATTTGCTACCTTGAACCTATGGGGGTGAACCTTATTTGAACTTCGTCGACCTTTGGTTAAGAAGTTCGAAGTTTGTCAAACTTTTGAACTTGACAGGTTCGAAAGTTTGAAAATTGTGAAATCTGTTAGCGTGTTAAGTTCAAAAATGTCAAATTTCATGGTGCAAAAAATTGGAAGTTAGAAAACAATCGTATTTCTCAGCACCAAAAATTCTTAACTTCAAAAATCATCAACTGTTTTATATAATAAGTTTGAAGTTTCGAACTTTGTGAACCCCTTGGTTCAATCTTCAAACCTCAGATTCGCAAAGTTTGCGGCATCTCTACACTCAACCCACCAGCAGCTGAACTAATATCCTTCGCCACATCCGTCACTCCTTCAGGAAGGGTGGCACCTTTCACTTTGAACTGACTCTCTTGGTACTGTTTTTGCACGCAGTAGGCCAGCCACAAGGAACACAATTTGTGCCGTGCACGGTAAAAAAACTGAGTCTGGTTTTCAATATTGGCGTCTGATTCAGCATGTCTGTACGACTTCAGCGAGGACATCAACCACACTGCCGGGTGCAAAAAATCACGATTTCCTTGCGACGTCAGTCAATTGTTGGACGTGTGGGGAGGCACCTCCTTATTGCTGTCTCCTTTTTTCTTGTTTTCGGGAAGAACAACAGCAGTGCATCTTCCGAGGATGCAAGTAGACAGTCGCTGTCCCCTCTAACAAAAGTCGCTCCAAAGCAGACCGGATATGGAGGAGAACCTACACACGTTTGAATGGCCAAAATTGGAGCAAATTGTATCTTGTGTGGACAGCCATTTACACAGTGTCTTCAAGAAAAGCTTTGTATTTCATAATTCACAATACTTCTATCCTGGACTAGCAAGATATCCCTCGAATCACTGGACAAACTATCTCTTCCCGTTTTTTTTTTATTTTGCTTTCGACTGTCTCTGCCCTTTCCGGACAGGGTCAAAATTCTTTTCAATGAATTTTTGAGATTGCCTAACAAAACGCTGCATGCACAAATGTTTCTGCAACGAATCTAGCCATCTCGACATTGCAAAACTAGCATCCCGCAGAGATACAAATGGGCAAGGAAAACGGGTGGCAGAGAGAGCAATACTCGATTACGGGTGCAGCTCGGAATAGAAGTCAAAGGTTTCCCTTTGATCGCCACCCTTCCACGCCCTCTGGCTCAGCGTGCCAGGAACTTGAAGCTAACCCCTTCTGCTGTCAAAGCATCGAGTTCAGGGTTCGTTTCGACGCAGCACTTGAACTGCGAAGCCGCGTCCCTGCGGGCGGTGGACCAATGGATCTCCACCTGATACGGCTGGGCGTCCAGGTAGCCCGACAGGACCGCGGTGGTGGGCGAGATGCTCGCTCCGTCCCCGACGTCGTCATGCTCGCCACGCAGCTCGAGGAAAGGCAAACGGTCATGGTCCGACGGGACGGCGCCGCTGGTGACGTCCACGGGGCAGCCGAGATACTCGACCAACTCGGGCGCGAAGGCGACGTCATTCGCGGGAGCGTCAGTGCGAACTTGGGGCAGGCACACGCTCGAACTGCGGCAAACGCTCTGGAGCGTGGGGCACGGTGTCGGGTGCAGAGTCGAAGCGGGTTCCTTCGTCAGCGCCTGCGAAGAAGAGTTCGAAAGAACAGTAATCGCTAAAACTGGTATTGGCCACTTATATTCTCCTTACAATATTAAACAAGAAGCCAACGGACAATAAAGTGAAATTCGGACGTTCACCTTTGCTACCTGGGAAAACACGAATGAATGAACTAATCGAACTTTTGAGCCGTGTCAGCTCCACAGACGCGGTGGACCTGTCGTGGGGTTGATTTTTCTCGCGTCTCACAGATACGTTCAGGAGAGAGAGTTCGTATCGCGAAGGGATGAACAAAAATAAAGGGTTTCACCTTCGCTCTGTGGCCTGGGGTTAGGGTTATATAGCAGTTGCATGGCGTTGCGCTGTTCAGGGTCAGCAGGCCGGTATGGGACCGAAAATTGCCGGTCTTCACGGTCCCCATGACATTGCTCAGGCAGCCCTTCAGTGCTCTGAAGCTGATGGCCATCTCACAGCTATTTCTGGTGGGTACGACTTGGAACGAACTGGGCGACCAACTAATATGCTTAACTATTAAAAGGATGCATTAACTTCCACATCCTCAGATGGAAAATTGCTACTGCTCCGTACCAGTGTTGGCCTCCGGGGTTGCGGGCTTGTTATGAATGCGCTTTCCGCTAAACTTGCTAAATTTTTCCCCAAATATCTAGCGCGCGTTTTGAAAGTAAATACAAAATAAAAAAAAATATTTATGATTGTATTTTAGTTAGATGCTGAGTCACAAGCACAGCTAATTGTTATTATGATTTTGAAGAAGCATCGTTGTGTTTGTCCGCAAGAGGGCTGAAGCGCTGAAGGCCATGTGCCGCCGGAGCAAGTGGAAGAACTCCGTGTTATCATGGCTCTTTGCGCTACATTATTCTCTCAAGTTCGGCTATTAGGTGGGTTCATCAACACAAACACATCCAGATTCACTCCGTGCATTTCTGTTGCGTGTAATGTCCAATGTCGCTACAAGACCACCACGCCCAAGCGCCGAAAGACGTACCCGTTCCACTGGTGGGCACCGCGCAAACGAAAGCACTTCGGAGAGGACCACCTCCTGAAGGAAAACATCGAGTTCCTCAAAGAAGTCGCCCAAAAGATGTACCTTCAGCCTGGCGAGAGTCCTCTCAGGAATGAACCCTGGGAGAAAGGCGTGTGGACGCCGGACTCTGTTCGGACCGGCGTCATCGCCCGCAAGATCGGCATATACCCGATGTGGACCACCTCGGGTAAGCGAATCCTCACCACCCTACTGCAGGTGCTGGACAATCACGTGATCCGCTACATCCCGTCGGAAGAGTATGCCTCATCCAGGTTCGGCTTCAAGGCGAAGGGCCGCGGCTGCCTCGTCGTGGGCGCCGGCAGCGCGGACCCGATGCTCTTCAAGGCCCCGTACCTCAGACTGTTCCAGGAGTCCGGCGTCATGCCCAAGCGCAAGCTGACGCGGTTCCTGATTACCGACGACGCCGCTATTCAACCCGGCACGCCTCTGTCGGCCGGGCACTTCCGAGCGGGGGACTACGTGAACGTGTACGGCAAGACACGGGGGCACGGCTTCCAGGGGGTCATGAAGCGCTGGAAGATGAAGGGCGGCCCGAAGTCCCACGGCACTACCAAAGCGCACCGGCGGCTCGGGGCCATCGGAGGCCCCCGGGGCATCATCCTCAAGGGAAAGCGGATGCCCGGACATATGGGCCAGGAGCGGAGGCTCTTGGTGGGTCTCAAGATCTGGAGGATCAACACAAAGCTGAATGTGCTGTTCGTGCAAGGTCCCGCCGTTCCGGGCGCCACCCTATCCTACGTGAACATCTACGACTCGCGGCACGGCAAGAAAAAGCACACAGAAGACAACCCGCCACCGTTCCCGACATACTACCCAGACCCGGAGAACCCGCTGCCCGAGGAGATGTATGACAAAGAACTGCATCAGTTCGAGGCTCCCTCCGTCACCTTCGTTGACGAGGAGGTGGTTGACAAGAAGAAGGCCAAGGTGAAAGCGAAGGCAAAGGCCAAGGGGAGGAGGTAAAGACTGCCACAGTCCCAGGTGCACACCGTTGCCCCTTGCATAGTAGGATAATTGTAGCATCTACCCAATAAAACAAGTGAAGGATCATTATACACCTCCGACAATACACAGCAGAGGCAGATCAGTCATTTAAAGTCTGAAGGTACAGTCGGGGACAAAAGTCTCCAGGACGCGCAAGCTGCGACTGAAACAAATTGCTCTGCCATCTGCTGGCGAGTCACCTGGTTTCGAGATCACACAAAAGCACATGCGCGTCCTACTGTGCCTGCAAACATGTCTGTTTTCCCGCTCTTCTGCGGCACGGCGCTGAACTCGGAATCGGCCGCGCTTACTGACTTGGCACCTATAAAGCAGGAAGTCACGGCAGCTCAACTGAGCGATAAGCTCAACTGGTTATAAACCAAGGTGTGCTGACACGGCAAAATATGGCGTAATGCTGCAGGCGGTATCGGCAGTTTTGGAATGCGTAGCAGACTCTGGTCGGTTGCAAGCGCATTCTCCGAGGAGGTACCACGTGTGCGATTCCAAGTTAGGCGCCGCGCCGCAGAAGAGCGGGAAAAGACATATGTTTGCAGGCACAGTAGGACGCGCATGCGCTTTTGTGTGATCTCGAAACCAGGCGACCCGCCGGCAGATGGCAGAGCAATTCGTTTCAGTCGCAGCTCGCGCGTCCTGGAGACTTTTGTCCCGGACTGTACACTTGGTTTGGCAGCCACATATACTTTGTTTACGCCATTTACATGGGTGTAGATTGGACAAGAACGTGGACACCAGGATTTTCAACACCTGTTGTGTCATAGTTGATAAAAGCAAAGTGAAATCACACTTGCAGTCTTCATAGGCTGTTGACAGGGTAGATAGACATCCACAATACTGATTGGGCACATCCCTTCCTTGCAAAGCAACTTACTAGAAATTCCATACACTTATTACCTGTTTACACTATCACTTAATGTGCGGTACCATTCATAAAAGCTTTAGACATGGTCACCCATGAGGGCAAAAATAATAATAATGCTTTATTTGTTTTATAAAACCTGGAACAAGCTATTTCCTACCCTTATTGATCATACACACTGTAAAGCGCCGTTCACGCTGTTGCAACCGAGTAAGACCGAGAGAGAGAGAGAGAAAAAAACTTTATTTAAGAAGTGAGGTCGTTGCTTCGTTCTTGGGCGGTGCCCTTAGTCCAGGGCTCCATTGGCTTCTGCTATACGCTTGGCCCGTTCAATCAGCCGTCGCTGATCGTCAGGCGCTGTGCTGGTCAGCGCAGCCTCCCAAGACGAGAATGTAGGATGGGGGATAGGTTTGATGCCGTTTCCCAATGGGGTTGGGCAGGTCCATGTGGAGTGGTACAAGGTGGGTTGTGGGGATTGGCAACCCGGACATATGTCTGGGTACCTGGTGGGAAAGAATCGTTGTTTATGGAATAGGTTTGGGTAGGTGTGGGTCTGTAGTAGGCGCCATGCGATTTTCTCCTGCCGGGTTAGTGACTTGTGTGGGGGAGGAAGGGTTTTGCGCTGGGAGCGGTAGTATTCTGTGACATTATTGTAAGTGAGTAGGGGGGCTGGGGGAAGGTTGGTGCTGTAGTGTCTGGTGCTAAATTCCTCTCTCTCTTCGTGTAATGCCCGGTGGGTTATTTCTCGGGCGAGCGCGTGTGCACTCTCATTACCGGGAAGAGAAGCATGACCAGGTGTCCATATAATGCGGACCGGTGGTAGCAAGGAGGGGTCAAGGGGTGATAGAATTCGTAATGTTAAATGGGAGAGGGAGTTTCTGGCATATGCTCTACATGCCGCTTGTGAGTCGGTGATGATAGTGCATGGAACCTCATGATCCTTGATTGTGTGATATAAGTGTGCTAAGGCCAATGCAATAGCTACCTCTTCCGAGGTGGTGGTGGGGAGCTTGCCTCGAAGGGAGGCCGTTGTCCTGTTCTGACCGTTGGAATCGCAGACGGCTATGCTCATATACTTATGTGTTGCGGGATATTCTGCCGCGTCGGTGTAAAAGGTACATGGGTCGTTTCCGTGTAGTCGTTGGAGAGCACGCACTCTTGCCGCTCTCCTTCCGGCATTGAGCTCTGGGTGCATGTTTCGTGGGAGTGGCATGACCCGTATCCTGGCAGTGATTGCGGGTGGAGCTGGCCCTAATTTGATGGTGTGCTCTGGGATTTCGAAGCTCTGATAGCCGAGTCTGCAAAGGACATGTTGTCCTGTCTTTGTGTAGCTCATACGGGTGCGTTGTCCGGTTGTGTGGGCTTCAATCAGTTCCTCAATAGCATTGTGCAGGCCGAGTTGGAGTAATCGTTGGGTTGAGGTGTACGGGGGGAGTCCAAGGGCCGTTTTAATCGCTGTGCGGAGAATGATGTTGAGTCTATTTAGCTCCGTTTGGTTTAGTTTGTGGTATGGGGCGTGATATATTATTCGGCTGATGAGAAGTGCTTGCACAACCCTAATGGTATCGGTTTCTTTGAGGCCGCCTCTTTTGTTGGCGACTCTGCGTATGAGGTGGGCTATTGGGATGCATTGCTTCTTTAGCAGCTGCACGGTATGGGTGGCTTTTGCATTGGCTTGGAGGTGCAAGCCAAGTATCCTTAGACGGTCGGTTTTTGGTATGGGGGTGCCTTCAAGGTGTATGGTGATTTCGTCTGTGGTCTTGTTCCGTTCATTAGTTTTGCGTGCTCCTCGGATGAGCAGGAGTTCAGACTTTTCAGCTGCGCAGCTGAGTCCTGCTGCTATAGCGAATTTCTGGGTGGTGTCTACTGCTTCCTGAAGGTTGTCTTGTATTTGGCTGTCCGAGCCCTTGCTGGTCCATATGGTGATGTCGGCATACAGTGCGTGTTGGATGTTGGGTGTTTTGGCGAGGAGATGAGGAAGCCCTGCCATGGCAATGTTAAAAAGTGTTGGCGAGAGGACTGAACCTTGGGGAGTGCCCTTTCCCGTGAGCAGGATTGGGTCGGATCGATGATCGCCGATTCCCAAGGTGGCGGTTCGGTCGGATAAGAAAGCTCGCATGTATTCGTAGGTCTTCTTTCCGCATTGGGATCGGGCGAGGCCTTCCAGGATGGCGTCATGTGACACGTTGTCAAAGGCTCCTTTGAGGTTAAGAGCCAAAACCGCCCTTGTCTGTGCCCGTCCTGGGTGGTCGAGGATGTCTTCTTTAAGTTGGAGAAGTATATCTTGGGTGGATAGGTTTTTCCTGAAGCCGAACATTGTCTCTGCGAAGAAGTTGATGGCTTCCAGGTGTGGTTGGAGTCGTTTAAGGACTATGTGCTCCAAGAGTTTTCCTATGCATGACGTGAGAGATATGGGGCGAAGATTCTCGAGGGAGAGTGGCTTGCCCGGCTTGGGTATGAGGGTTATGTCTGCATGTCGCCAATCTTGTGGCAGCGTACCAGTGTTCCAAGCCTCGTTATAATAAGCCGTAAGGGCGGTGATGGATCCGTCGTCGAGATTTTTAAGCATTTTGTATGTAATGCCGTCTTTACCTGGTGTCGTGCTCCGGGTTAGGTTTGTAAGTGCGCTTCGGACTTTGGATTCGGTGATGTCTGTGTCAAGGGGATGCGTGGCTTCTTTGTGCGGGTATGAAGAGTATTTGGGTTTAGGGCCAGTTGCTAAGTAACGTTCTCTGAGAGCGTCCCATAGCTCATTTTCCTTTCGTGTTTCTCGGTGAAGAAGTTTGGTGATTGCGTGGGATGTTGCCGCCTTGGTTTTTGTTGGGTCTATGAGACTTCGGAGAAGCGTCCAGGCCCGTTTGGTTCCGAGGGTTCCTTGGAGCTGATCACAAAGTTTGTACCAGTTGGTTTGTGTGAGTTCCTCGGCATACTGTTCTGCCTCTAAAGTGATCTCTGCTATGCGTTTTCGGAGTTTTCGGTTGTGTTTGCGAGTTCTCCATCTCCGGGTGAGTCCCCTGCGAGCTTCCCACAGGTGGAGTAGATGTGGGTCTATAACTGGGGCTGCACTTGTGGTTTTCACCTGCGTAGTCACCTTGTCAATGTCATTTTTAAGTTCCTGGATCCATTGCGCTAGGGGTGGGTGTGCTTCTGCTGTTTTCCCCTCCGGGGGTGGTCTTAGCTGTCGGAAGGCGTCCCAGTTTATGAGTCGTTGTGTGCGTCCGTGGCCTCGGCCGATCTGGGTCTGGATCTCAGTCTCAAGAATGTAATGGTCGCTCCCCAGGTTTTCTTGGAGGTTTGTCCAGGTACATGGCTTTTTTGCTTGCACGAGCGTTAGGTCCGGGCTCGTGTCGTGGTTTACGCTGTTACCCAGCCTTGTCGGTTGGTCAGGCTCGGTCAGGAGGGTTAGCTGGTTCCTAGATATAGTCGTAGTTAACTTCCGTCCCTTTACTGTCTCATGTTCGTAGCCCCAGGCTGGGTGTGCCGCGTTGAAATCCCCCACTATAAGAAAGGTGTTTTCTCGTGGTCGGGCTATTCGAATCGCGTCGAGGAAGATGTTGTCGAAGGTGTCTCTCTTGCCACTCTTGGGGGGACTATAAATATTCAGTATGAAGAGGCTGGTTCCTCCGCGTTTCTGGGGGAGGAGCTCCAGAAGAACATGTGGGATGTCTACATTTCTGTCCATGGTATGCTCTATGACGGGGATGTGTTTTGCGACCAGAGTCGCTACTCGCGGTGTATCTCCGTGGATTGTATTCTGCACATATGTTTCGTATCCAGACAGGTTGGGGGCGCAATTGGTTTCTTGTATGGCTATGGTGTCGGGGCGTTGTGTGTGGGTGCTGAGGTATTGTGTGAGGGCTCCGCGTTTGCGTCGGTACCCTCTACAGTTCCATTGCCAGATTCGCGTAGAGATCACGGGGGCGGTAGGGGGAGAGTGCTTTTTGTTTTGTTTCCTAGTGTTTGTCTTCGTGTTGAGGCTGGCATTGAGAGACGTCGGATTGTGCCGCTACAGCAGGGACACAGGAGGCTTCGGTAGTCGGTCGGTGGTAAGGGTGTACTCGTCTCGCTTCACAATGATCGCGTTCACCGTGTGTGTCCGTGTGCAACGGGAGGTTCGGCTCTGCCTGAGAGAGCTTGATTCGGTGGTCTGTTAGAGCGGCGTGGATGAGTTGGGGGAGTTGTAGAGCAA